CCCTACCAAATAGCAATCATTTGATGGTCACCCTATAAGGATAGAACAGATGCATCATCGGGACCCGATTGTAGTAATGAACGGGGATCACGATCCATGTCTATAACCTACATCAACAAAAAATATATAAAAATGAGTTAACATATATTAATAACAACGTTAACAAATATCAAATGATGAATAATGTGCTCGAACAATAAATAATGCAATACAACTTACATACAACATTAGAGTGCATAACTAAGATTTATAGTGAATGACCCATTAAACTGATTGGTTCTTTGCTGGATATGTTCAGTGATCGTACCCTTCTTGCAAACAAATACTACAATGATTCTTCTTGCGCCCTTCTCTCAGAAAATCCATTTCATTCTATATACGTGATGTCTATGGACGTCCTCTAACGCCTCGACGCAACGACCTATCAGGGCATAATGTAAGGCCATCGGTAGCATCTCAATAATCTTGATGGGGAAGAGGATGAAGATCAGGTGTCCAAGTGGATTCAAGTGCATGAATGGTATATACTGGATCGATTAAATTCCAAGAACTAACATGGAAATGCGAGCATGCGGCCATAACATGAGAATAAGACATTTTATAAAATGTAAATTTTCCACAACTGCATGTCCGGTCATCAATACAAACAACATGTGTATTACCGTTATTACTGACCACCTCCGCAACTTCACGTCGCATGTGAAATGGTGTAACAATACACATTCCTACTTTTACCTAGTTGGGTCGCATAAATTTGATTGCTTCAGGTGAGTACTCCATATCATCCTCTATGCAGCGTTGTGCATGTTCACGTTCACAAAAGTATTTTACAAGCTGATAAAATATGAATTTAACACATGTAGTGATGGGAAGCATCCTAACACCTTTCAATGCACCATTGAACACCTCAGAAACATTAGTTGTGGTTGTTCCATATCGCCGACCACCATCATGGGCAAGTGTCCACTGTTGTACTAGAATATCGGCTAACCACTTCCATGCATCAGGATTTATACTTTTAATTTCTTCCATTATCAAATTAAATTTGCGAATCTGATGTGCTGCACCCAACCTTCCACACTTGATCTTCAAATACATGTTGTTGTAATGTGTGTTGAAATTGCTTTGTACATGCCTAAGACAGAACGATGATAGGCGTTTGGCTCATTCCACCTAGAATCTGGTTTATTTACCGCTGAGATTATACCTTTATGTCGATCTGAGATTGAGCATATACCAGCTTTATTCGGCACAACAGAGTGGCGTAGATGATATAGGAACTAATCCCAGCTTTCAATAGTCTCCTCATGAACAAAGGCAAATGCTAGAGGAAAAATCTTCTTCTGAGCGTCAATCCCAGTAGCAATAAGAAGCTTATGCTTATACTTGTCATTTACAAATATGCCATCGATGTTGATTATAGGCCGACAATGAGCAAACTCATCAATAAAAACTTTGAATGCCCAGAACACCTTTCCAAATATATCAAATTCGGGAGCACGAGCCTCATATTGCCACTTTACAATTGTCCCAGGGTTGTATATCACAAGAGCACCCATAAACTTCGACAAGATGTTGTAAGAACAATCCCAGTCACCAAAAACCTTGGCTATAGCCTAATTCTTGGCATTCCACGCCTTCTTGTACATTATCAAATAATGATACTCTTTTTTCACCATTTCAATGATGGCAGACATTGTTACATCAAGTGTAGCACGAACCACACCCTCAATCCATTGAGAAATAAAACCTGCATCAAGCTGACAGTGGTCCTGGTTCAACCTTAGGTAGAAACAAGTGTGAGGTGCCTGATATTTTGTGATCTCAAACATTCCATGTTTCGCCTTCAAAATCGCCTGTAGCCTCCACTTGCATCCACATTGTGCATACATCTTGCACCTTAACACCTAACGCGTTTTATTTGTATCAACAACAACGTATTGTTGATGCATCTTAATTGAATATAATTTAACTGTCATCTCCAGCTCTTTTCTAGTCCTGAACACCATACCCTTAGCCAATTCTGGTCTTGTAGGATCCCATATTTTAATTTCATGCAAAATGCACAAGCTGTCAACTTCATTCTGGTTTTCCAATTCAACGTTTAAGAAAAATGTTGACTCCAACTCATGCATAGGAACCTCACCATCATCCTCAATGGAATTACCTTCGGCATCATAATCATCATCATCAGAGTCATCACTCAATAAATTTTCTGGCAACTCTTCTTCGTCGTAATAATCATTCTGGTCATTAGCACACATTCTTTCATATGTATTATTATCAATCTGATGCACTACAAGTGCTTGAACAGTGTCCATTGGTGTTGGGGTAACTGCAATGATTTCCATCCCCTCGTTACCCATAGCATCCCAATAATCTTACTGGGATGAACATTCAGGAAAAGTACTAAACCCTGTTTCAGACTATGTATGCATATATCGATTGTATTCTTCTATACATTGCATTGTTAAAAGGGTGTAATAATTACCCACCATGGCTGAAGGGTCAAGCACTGGGTTATATGGTTGTCGGCTAAGCATGGAAGTGTATGAACCAACATCAGGACAACCTTCATTACTTCCACCAATGTCATTTGCCGTAACCTTTTCGCTCACATACAAATCAACTTTGTTAACACCTTGATTGTCAAATACAAAATCCACCATTGCCTCCACACCATCATTGTCAACAACTTCTAGTGGAATATATGTAAAAAGGTTAGTTCTCAATGCAGTAGGAAACCTACAAATAAGTTTGAGGTTGTATTTATTCCTATCTATTCCCGTCACATCATGCAACCTATCCACCAATGCCGAGTAAGTTGTGTCATGCGCAACCTTTATCACACGCTTATAACCATTATCGTATCGTAAAACATCATGGTTCTTGAATATGGCACCACCCCAATAAATCATCACAAAAACACGTCTTCCAGCCATTCTTAACAATTTTACAATAAATACATCAAAAGCTAGTGTGTATACACAACAAAAACTTTTGCTTTCATCGAAAATTTTGCTTGTTCATGCTTTGAAATGTAAATAAATCGGGTAGCCTGTTCTAATTTTCAACCCCCCAATATTAAGGAAGGAGTACATTAAGTACATAAAATGGTTGACACTTACATCAAGAAAGTAATCTATAAAGACTACTAATATATTTTTTAAAAAGTGCATAGGCACACCTTCCCTAGATTTTTTTTTTTTTTTGGTTGCAAGGTTGGCCACTGTGGCTTGAGTTAGATTAGAACACAAGAGTGACTAACTTTTAGAGAGAATGCGAAAAAATTGAACTCAATCTAGATTCACTATGGTTTTTTAGTAAAAATATGCTACATAATCTAAATAGAACTCAAAAATTAAAATCCAAACCCATATTATCATTTGGATGGGTGAGTCTCACTGAAAAAATTGATGAGATCCATTCATCTAAGGGATGATATGCATTTGAGTTGTAATTTTTTGATTTTTATTTGAGTTTTGTAGTATTCTTCTTTTGAGTAATGTTAATCTGACTAAAAAATTATGGTGGACCTCTTGAAGGAATGATTCTCCTATTGCTACTGTCATTCTTCTTTGAAGCAATTTTGCTTCGATTATAGTCTGCTTTGTTTCCTTGTGGAGAAAATTATACACATTAGCTAGTCAATGTGGATATGAATCATTGACTTAAAAATCTACTTTTTTCCCTATCCTGTATTTACTATTTTAGGTGGTGGAGAAGCTTGTTGATGTTGTTACCTTCATACATCAAGAGATTTTGGAGATAATGGTATGAATAACATGCTTGACATATTTTCTATCGCATTTTCAGAGAATGTTGTGCATTCTAGGTGTGTAAACTCATAACCATGCATTTATGAATGCAAGACATTACATGCATTACGATCATAGATGTAATTAGGAAACCACATGCCTATTGCCTTGCTGTTTTTGCTCCTATGCCCATTGTTATCTTGCGTAATCAATTTTTTTTTTTTGTTCTGATGCACTCTTAGTGCATAGTAATATCCCAAGAACTAGTATATTTGGGTTTCCTTATGAATTATCCTTTTTTTTTTCTAACAACCGGTTGAATAAAGAATTTACTCTATATTTCACGTTTGCTGCAACGATTAAAATTATGCCCCATCCCTTTTTCCCTTCTTTGTGGGAATCTATATTGGAATATCCCAGGATGCCCTAATCCTTTCTTGTGGTCAGTAAAATGGTGATTTTAGAAAGTGTAAAGATCGAAAGATACCTAATTCAAAAGCAGTCCAACATTATATGAATGTCCACGCCAGGAAAATACTAAAATCCTTAGCCTCAAGATCTGATCAAACCAATGTGGTTGTCTTGCAATTGTATGCTTATTTGCTATTCGTTTCCCAACCTTATCTGCCATTAGTTTATAAGAGACATGGTGTGATTTTCATGTATCCAGTATTTTAAATCACGATTAATTTACTCTAGTTGTTGATATTGAAAAGTATATCTCATATAATTCTTTTTCCGACTTCTCATTTTTGCTCACAATTAATGGCAGGAGGGACATTTGTTGCTAAAGAGCCTATCAAAAGACCAGAAAGACTTGGTGCAGCTAGTCTTGCATTACACTACGCAAAAAACTCATATTTATATAATTATATACATATAATTATCATTATCAAGAAACTCATATATATATAATTATCAGGAATTTGTATGAACAGTAAACAAAATTCATCTTAAACACATCTGAACAATAAACAAAAAACGACACGAAATTAACAAATCCATCTACAAAATTCATCTGAACAGTAAACTAAAAAAGGATCATTAGGTCAAATAACAAATCATAGCAAACTCATCTACATAATCAACATGAAATTACAGAAATAGTACACAAAATTTCCAATAAATCCAGTGGTAATTCAAAAAACAAAAAGGTAAAAAATCTAAACGTTTAAGAACAAAACCGACCAAAACCATATAACCAACAAATCCTTAAATCAAAACACAAATCATAGTTCTAACCTTTCTGAAGATGAGAACGTAGCAGATAAAGAGAGTGGTCTGGTTTGAAACCCCAACCACAGCTAATAGAGTTGAACAAAACAAAGTAAATGTATCGGCTGTGTGGTCTGGTCTCATCGGAGAAGACGGTGGCTGAGTGGTTGTAGGCGGAGGAAGAGGAGGAGGAGAGATCGATCGATCTGAGACAGTGGGCTGACTGGTTGGAGGAGGAGGAGGAGGGAGGAGAGACCGACTAAGAAAGGGTAAAAAAAATTTAAAACATTTAGCTGGGTCTTCTTAAATGACGTTTTCAACCCCGAAATTTTTAAAACATTTAGCTAGGTCTTCTTAAAAAAATTTTAAAACATTTATTTGACTAAAACGTCATTTGTAATGCCGTTTTTAAAAACATTATTTTGATTGACGTTTTCATTCCCTTTGTAATTTTTTAACATCTGTTACGGTCGTTTAAAAAAATCATATTTAAAAACGTCATTTTGAATGACAACTTCAAAAACGTCATTAGCAATGACATTTCCAGGAAAAAAATTAAAATTTTAAATTGTTATTCAAAAGAACGTTTTTAGGTGAGAAGACGTAATTTGAAATGATATTTTTAAAAAAAGACTGAGTTTTAGAATTAAGTTTAAAAATGATTGAATTTGAAAATTATATTTTGAAGGGGCATGGATTTAGGAAAATCTCCTTGGTCTTTGGTGATCTTAGTGATCGTCAAATCACAGAAGACCTCTTTTGACCCAAGCCTAGCGCTATTGGATTATGGCACGTATCCTCTTTCAAATTTTGCATATCTTAGTGTAAAAAAAGGACTAAAATAGTTTATCATCCAGGGGTGCTCCAGTGGGTACGGAACCAAATTTCTCACCTTAAGGATAGAGATACAAGTCTTAAAATTTATATTGAGGTTTGGTAATTGATGGTATTGTTAGCCTAATTAAGTTCGTTCTCGAGAGGTATAACGGACACAGTGAGGGACCTCATGATCTCATCAGTAAATGTCAATGGAGGGAGTCTCTAGACACTCTTCTTTGCTTCCACCCCTTTTTTAACCATAAAAAAAAAAAGAACTAAAATTGTTTAGACTAATGGAGTTATATTTCTTGAGAGATTCTAAAGTTTTTATTTTATTTTTTTAAAGCTTAAATGACTCACATTGTAAATTTTATATAGATATTAATGTGCTCCCATAGTTAAGTGACGTTTGTATTTTCGTCTATAAATGTTTCATAATGTTATTTTATCCCCAAAATTATTTTCTAATTTCAAATTTTCTTATAAAATTATTTGTTTTAGATAATGTGCGTGGCATATGGCATGTCAACTAGCAAAAAAATTGATTAAATGGGAGTCGATGAATATTGCTCAAAAGATGTTATTAGTTTAATAGGGTGTTTTTGTTTTGTGAATAAGAAGGGTATTAGGGGTGGAATAGAGTAAAATAATACATGGAGCCTACTGGTACCTTGTTTGTTATGTCATTGTTGGCCTAAAATAAAAATTTAAAAATAACACCGGCCTGGTGCTACAATGCAAGTATACCCATATAGGAAGGTTTAATTAATGCCATATTGGGGGTGGTATAATAATGAGATAATAAACCAACATATGATATTTATAAGGAAAATTGCAACATTATTCCTTCCAATGCCAATGTATTCTACACCAAGACAACGATATTAAAGTCAATTGACACCAAATAACATCTTTTATTTTTATTATGGGGACCACAAGAAATGTAACTTATCCGTATTGTCTTTTTTAATATCTGATGGTCTAAATAGATATGAAGGACATACATCATGAAAAAATTACTCAAATGTGATGTAAGATGAAAAAAATTTAGTAAATTATGCCTATCAAACTCAAAGGAGTCGAATGGGTTGAAATGNATTTAGTAAATTATGCCTATCAAACTCAAAGGAGTCGAATGGATTGAAATAGATTCTCCAATCCCTCCCAACTAACAAACATGCCCATATAGAAGTATGTTTTCATGGACCCTTCAGTTAAAGCAGGTCACTACTAGCCACAATTTCTGACAAAATATCCCTAATTTTATATTTGGATAAATTACAATTAGATTATTTGAATTGTGACCCTCATTTTACACTGTATTAAAAATTATTAATTTGAACTACACATTGTCCCCATCGTTGGCTAGTTGCCAATTTTTCATGGCAAATTAGGGGAAAATAGAGTTTTGCCCAATGAACAAAGGAAAGACCACATCTACTAATATTGTGAAATCCCATTTTTGTTCTGATTTTCTACACAAACTAGACAATATTCGATGATTGAGGGGTTGTTTGATAACATAAGTTAAGGTTTAAAACTGAATACTTTAAGCATTTAATAAATTAAATTCGTTTGATAATATAAAACTCATACTATTTAATAATTTAAGCACTTCTTAAAAATAGACTAAAATTATAAGTACTAAACTACCTACTTACACTAAACGCTGAACATGTTAGTCAGTAAAGATTTTATCAATTTTTCATAATAACAAATATACCCTCATCACTATTGTGTCACCGTCGCCGCCGCCACCACCACCATTGTACCACCGCCACCACTATCATCGCTACCACCGCCGCCATCATCACCACTATTGTACCACCTTCACCACCACCATCCTTGCCACTACAGTTACCATTGTCCCACCGTCACCACTACCTTCGTTATCACTACTACTACCATTATACCACGGTCACCACTATCTCCACCATCTTCACTGTCACCACCATTGTGTCGCCGCTATCACCACCACCATTATGTCATCACTATCACCCCCAACACTGTCGCCCACACCACCACTACTATTATGCCATCGCCACCACCATCATTGTGCTACCACTACCACTACCACCACTGTCACTGCCAACACCACCATAATCATTATGTCATCACCACCACCACTACCACTATCATTGCCACCACCATTGTCATCACCCTCACTACCATTGTGTCGCTGCCACCACCACTGTTGTCGCTACCACCACCATTATGTCACCACCACCATTGTGTTGCCGCCACCATCATCCCTGTCACCACCACCATTTGTGATGGTGGTGATAGGAATAAAGCAGTTGCGGAGATAGTTAAAGAGAAGGACAAAATTAGAATAATAATAATTTTTAAACTTCAACTCCTTATATTTGTCAAATAGTTTAATTAAATTCAAAACTTAAATTCTAGTTGATACCAAACAGTATACGAATTAGAAAAATCAGCATTCAACACTTAAAATTTAGTATTTAGTTTTCAATGTTCAGCTTTCAGTTTTATCAAACACCACTTGAGACAACGTAAAACTCCAACCAATTATTTAAGGTGCATTGTGAAAAAATAGATATTTAAAGGGATAATGTGAAATGAGAAATATAATTTAATAAATTTAAGTATAAATTGCCCTTTTTATTTTATCATAAAAAAATTTTAATTATGAGCAATTGTACTTGAATTAAATTTATTAACTTAATTTATTGATTTAATTATTAATAATTATTAGATTGACAGTGTGTCCCAGAATTATTGAGAGTCACAATTAATTTAATGATTGTGGTAAATTAATTTAGTAAATTATGTAAATAAATTAAATTAAAATAATATTATTGTTTAATTAATGATGAGATGCCTTACACATTTTTTTATCCATTGATCAAGAAAAGGACTGAGGAGATGCCTGTCTTCCACTACAACACAAATAATTGAAAGAAAACAAAAAAAGGTCCTTGACTCTTCCACTACAGTACGAACAATGCAAAAAACGGTCGGGTCAATTAGGTCTGCCAGCGGATCGAGCTTGAATTGGATTTTGAGTGATTCAAATATAATTATAAAAGTTTGATTTGAATTTGATCTGATAATTCTCTGGATTTTATTTTTTTTAGTTTATATCCAAATTTGTTAACAACTCGAAATTCGATCTAAATAACTTAATTAATGTTAACTAATTTTATGATAAATAATCACTTATTTTTTAAAATATTTATATAGAAATATATAAATAATTTAGATTGAATCATAATCGAATTGAATATAGATATATCTAAATTCGAATTTATAAAATATAATATTTCATATTTGAGTTTGGGTTTAAATTATCGATAAAAAATATCAATTTATATTCGATTAATCAAATTCAAATCATAATCTAATCCATTGACATGTCTATAAAGAATGTGAGTAGGAATCTGAGTAGGTCAGTTCGCTTGGGACTGTTCTAACTTAACCATTATTTTCGGTTCGAGACTTGGGAATGCAGCTGCGTTAAATATTCAGTAGGAAGAGTTTTGCTGCCTTCGTGATCCTGCCCGACTCAAATTTAGATTAGTGGAAGCCCTATTGCGAATCAAGACACTATCCAGAATATAGATTCTGATCACAAGGAGGAAATCAATCAAGAGAAGAGTTGTTGTAAGATATTTTCGCTTAAGAGTTCTGCTGGGACTTTACCTATTGATAGGAGTTCAGCTGGGACTTTACCTACTGGGAATTTGGTATAAAGTGATAGAAGTCCACCATTAACAGAAGACTATACCAATCAGTGACTGTTAGTGATTAGAACAAAGTGTTGTAGATAATTTCATTATCATGTTATCATTTATTTTGATGTAATCTAGTCCTTAATTCTTGAATGTTCATAGCTGGTATAAATAAGAGAAAGTCTGTATCTCTCCTGACTGATTTTGGTTGAGGTCATATTACTTGTTTTTTTCACTTATCTTCATGGTATCAAAGCCAACTAGTACCTCAACTAAAATGGCTACTTCTCTTACTCTCGAAAATCTCTCTTTCCTCTCTTCTATGGTGAATTTTAAACTCACCTCTAAGAATTATTTGATCTGGAGGAGCCAAATTCTTGACATTACTATTGGGGCTGATCTCTTAGATCACTTAAACAGTGACGCTCAGCATCCAAAACCAATGATAACTACAAAGGGAAAGGATGAACCTAATCCCGCCTACACAGCCTGGAGAAAGACCGATTGGCTGCTAAAGAGCCTCATCTCCGGTACAGTTTCTGAAAGTATACTAAGTCATATAATATAGTCTGGAATCATCACTTGAGGTATGGTGTTATTTAGAACAAAGTTTTGCTTCCACATATGAGGAAAGAGAATTCAATCTTAAACGTGATCTTCAACGAATTCGCAAAGAAAATCTTGAATCTGTGGCAGATTTTTTGGCCAAATTCAAGCAAATATGTGATCAACTTGGTGCTATAAA